AAGGAATATGTTACTTATCCTCCTTTTTCTGAAATGCTAGAATTCTCCTTTCTCTTCCCCTCCCTGCTTTAAGTTGTCAATCCTCTCAGATAACCCTGTTTTTGGAAACTGGAACAGTGGACTTTGGCCATCATCCTAGAACGGGAACCACTGTCAATTGCCCATCTGAGGCTCAGAAGCTCAGAAGGTACAGCTAAACACAAAGAGCCGCAGCTCTGTGCAGAATGTTGCAGAATGTAAAAGACTAATTCTGATCCTAAGGAAAGAAAACCCACAGCGGGTTCAAATCAAACTGCTGCAGGGTTTTCCACAATCAAACACTTTGCCCCTGGCCTTCAGCACACCTACCAATTACACCACGCTGGGAAAGAGCCAGCGAAAGCAGAAGATCTGAACTTGGCAACACCACCTGTAGAGTCAAAGGCTACGTTGTCCCTCCCAAAAGACACAGAAAGGCTGCTGCCATGGCTATAGCACACTGCAGATGTTCAGCCTGCAAACAGACATCTAGCATATCCATCATATCAGCTGGAATTACCTTGCAGGAGAAGGGATTGTTGGACAAAAACGCAGCCAGGAGCTGGATCGCATTTTTAACTACTACCACAGATTTGTCTTTGAGACGTCCGACAGCCAGTGACACCACAGACTGAAACTGAGTCAAAGGCAGGGCCTAGCACACAATGAGAGTGTAGACAAAGTTATCAGGAAGGTCTAGAGACTCACAAAAAGTTATTTTACTGCAGACATGTTAATGTACTAAAAGGCACAGATCATAGAATTATAGAAAAGTCTAGGTCTGAATGGACCTCTAGATAACTTCTAGTCCAATCTCTGTTGAAAGCAAGGACTTAGATTAGGTTATCCCAGATCCTGTTGAATCGAGTCTTAGTATGCCTAGTGAGGGCAATGTTTTCCCATACCAATGTCCAAAAAGAGCTTGTGTACTGTGGTCTTCCTTCTAGTCTGTCCCAGCAATAAAGAGCAGCATTTAATTTCTGTTCCCCAGTTGCCTTGCCCCTAGGATCTCCGATCTCTTGGGAGAAAGGAATTGCAAACACCACAGTACACGGGGAAAATACCTTTCTCTGTTAAACTTCAGTCTCTGCAAACAAAGGGCAGGGAGACAGAAACTCCCTTAGAAAACACAACAGCAGAAGGGATGGCAACGCCATTTCCCCAGCACAGACTTACCTTGCACTGAACTATTCGAGTGAAAATCTGCAGCACACGGCTACGCACAAGGCCATTGATGTCACAGACGTGGGCCTGCAGGATAGTCAGGAACTGGTCCCGAGTACCACGGGCAGCTTCCTCCAGCTGGTCACCATTCAGCACCTGCACCAGCACTTCTGCCATAGCTGCAAGAACGGCATTCCGCATCATATAACTCTGCAAAAAGAAGAGTTGTTGAACCAGGAACAGACAAAAAGACATGACTTGATATGCCAAAGGGAAGGATGGCCCAGAGTTTGGACCCTCTAAGTGCCAGGCTCCAGCCTTAAGTGAATTTCTCCATTATGAACTTTGTATTAACCTCGGGTGAGCATGCCTGTGCCTGCAAGACAGAGCAAGCCAACCCTGCTATCCACCTAGGTCCACAGCAGCCAAGAACTGGTATGAGAAACACATAATGGCTTTTAAGGGCAGTGTAAGAACAGGTAACACAACGACAAACTCCTTAAGTACTGAAGAACAAGGGACAACAGCTAGGATCTCACAGAATCTTTAAGGTTGGAAAAGACCTCCAAGATCATCAAGTCCAACCGTCAACCCAACAGCACCATGCCTGCTACACCATGGCCTGAAGATGTGCCACATCTACACGTTTTTTGAATGCCTCTAGGGATGGCAACTCCAACACTTCCCTGGGCAGCCTGTCAACCATCTCCTGTTCTCTGGTATCTGGGAGTGACAACCAGACAGTAGATGTCATGGTTTCTGTTCTCTTTGCATCATCTAGGTAAGGGCAGAACCTGTTCCAAAAGGCAGGTTTTGGATACTTGATCTCCATGAAAGAAAGTATGTTTTCAGACAGAAAAACTAGATAGCGACACCTCCACCACTTGAATTATCCAGAAAGGCAATATTGTAGAACTGCACCTCCCCATCCAAGTGAGGCAGGAGAACGCTCATGTTGGATAGCACCAGAGCTGGAATCTGTTCAGCCAGTCCAGATACAAAGGTAGCATAACCCTTGATTCCAGAAGCATCACGAGCCAGATCTGGCGAGCATTTCTGTCCGATTTCCCTGCACAGAAAGATGAAACAAGGAATAGAGTGCCTCAGGTTGCCAGGGATAGAAAGACAAGCCTCAGGGTATTTTTCTCACCTTAGCAATTCGCCTACCAGGCTTTTCAGACCATACTCTGTAGCCCAGAGGCTCACAGCCTGCACAAACACTGGGGCGACATGTTCAAAGTGCTGCAGCATCTGCGTGATCTTCAGAGTGGCGCCTTTCACACACGAGGAAGAAGAAAGAGGTCAGGAAAAGTAACAGGGAATGACTTCAGGAACAGGGCAGAAGGGCAGGAACTCACTGAACATGTGATCATAGTAAGTCAGAGCTGCAGCAAGCAGATGTGTCACAGCCTCCCGTGTGGCCCGGTACTTCTGCAGACCGATACTTGGATTCTCCAGGATACGGTAGCAGCTTCCTGTCATTAAGCTAAAGCCACAGAAGAGAGACAGTCAGCTTCAGTATCACAACCGGAACCAACATCATTCTAGCACACTGCACTAGGCAAACATTTCTTTCAAACCAGAGAGATGCTCCAGTATCCTTAAAAAAATGATCAAACAACATCTGAATTCAAGGCCTACATGAAGAAAGGAAATGGTTCCTAAACACATCGCTATTGTGCCAAGATGGTTTCCTTAGTTTCCCAGTGACCTGCACGCTGCAGAGGGCTGTAATACGACCTCACTGGCAGATTCAACGTTCAACCCTCCCTTGCAGAAAACCACTGTCACCCATCCCACCTCTAAATTGGTTAGATGGTCACATCCAGAGGGGTAGTGGTCAACAGCTCAACATCCAGATAAAGGTTGGTGACAAGTTGTGTCCCTCAGGGGTCCATACCGGGACAGTACGGTTTAGTGGGCCCATGTGAAGCTCATGAGGTTCAACAAGGCCAAGTGCAGGGTCCTGGACCTGCGTCAGAGCAACCCCTGGTATCAGTACAGGCTGGGGGATGAAGAGGTTGAGAGCAGCCCTGCCGAGGACTTAAGGTTGGATGAAAAGCTGGACATGAGCCAGCAATGTGCGCTTACAGCCCAGAAGGCCAACTGTACCCTGGCCGGCACCAAAAGCAGCGTGGCCAGCAGGTCAGGGGAGGGGATTCTGCCCCTCTGCTCTGCTCTGGTGAGACCCCACCTGGAGTCCTGCATCCAGCTCTGGAGCCCCCAGCACAGGAAAGACATGGACCTGTGGGAGCAGGTCCAGAGGAGGCCACAAAAATGATCCCAGTGCTGGAGCACCTCTCCTGTGAGGAAAGGCTGAGAGAGTTGGGGCTGTTCAGCCTGGAGAAGAAAAGGCTCTGGGAGACCTCATAGCAGCCTTTCAGTACTTAAAGGGAGCTGATAAAGATGGGGATAAACTTTTCAGCAGGGCCTGTTGTGACAGGACAAGGGGTAATGTTTTTAAAGTAAAAGAGGGTAGATTTAGACTGGATGTAAGAAAGAAATTATCTACCATGAGAGTGGTGAAATACTGGAACGGCTGGCTCAGAGAGGTGGTAGATGCCCCATCCCCGGAAACACTGATTGTCAGGTTGGACGGGGCTCCGAGCAATCTGCTCTAGTTGAAGATGTCCCTGCTCACTGTGGGGAAGTTGGACTAGATGACCTCTAAAGGTCCCTTCCAACCCACACTATTCATCCACTCTGTCCCATACCTGACAAACTCTTCTTCCACCCCCAAACCACCCCAAAGCTGATGGAGCTCGAGCTGCAGCAGCTGCGTGAGCAGCCCCAGGAGTGGCTCCCTCTCCTCTTCCCACAAGGATCCAGAGACCTTGGTACGGTTCTTCTTGTTCTAGAAAGGAGATCATACAATACAATACATCAGCAGCTTGACAACAGATAAAACACACCATCGCCACCCTGCTTCCCTCAAAAAAGAACGACTGTTAAATGCTACAGCATTAAGAGACATACAGTGAAACGTATGAGAAGCTTATATGCCCACCTAAAATTATCATCACTGTCATCTTTGACCACAGAAAAGAACTCTTCAGAAACAACTGGCACACCAAATACCAGCCAGACACTGAAGCGTGAAACCCTGCTGATGTTTAAACACGTCTTGTCCCTTTGGCTCTTTTCCACGTACAGTTTCACAGAAATCCCAGTACTCCACGTTATGCACTGCTCTTTGCCGGCACCATGTTTAAATAAAACCAGCTATAACGTCAGACAGATACCACAGAGTTCAACAAGCTTACATATTTTCTTTTACCATCCCTACAGTCCCCTCACCTACCTTCCCCCCAGGATCCACCTCCAAACCACTCCTGCAGGTTTCCATTTCGAAGGCTTCCGCCAGGCCAGTCAGCAAATAGCAGTTCATCTTGAGCGCGTTGAGGTGAGCAACACGGTCTGCATGGCTCAGCCCAGAATCACCCAAGATGGCAGAAAGTTCATTGGAATGATGGGACACCACTGGAGAGAGGCAGAAAGTCATCACCGTTCCTCGCCAGGCCCCTCAGCCATCCTCTCCTTTGGAGACTCAGAGCAGCCATCAGATTACCAAAGACATGTGCTCACATCTCACCAGCTGCAACGTGGGCTGTCCCCTGCGACCCAAACCTTGGAAATGCTGTGCTGCCCTGTCCCCGCAGCCCCCCCTTCAGCTCACGCAGACGCTCGCTCGGAGCTGCTGCGTCCCAGAGGTGCGTTTTCCCAGGACGCGAGGAAGGGGATTTTCTGTCGGCCTGCCCTTACAGCGAACACGCACAGCTCCGCACTGTCCGCCAAGATTACAGGCCCGTACGACCGGAATGGGCCGAGGGTGCAACCCAGCTGGTGAAGTCACATCAGCCTTTACATCATCACCGAGCCGCCGGGAGAGGAGAGCGACCTCTCTGCCTCTCCTGCTGCGGCGGGAAGCG